TAAAAACAAACTATTGTTACACACAGCCTAATATGTCTCATTCTATTATCAGTGACTAATTCTGGTTTTCAATTTAAACTAGCAGTATATAATCTTTATCAAAAGGAATAATTTGTCTACATTTTCAATTAATGTTACCTTTTGGTTTTTTTTCAAGAAATAAGCTTATCGATTTTAATACTAGTATTTTTTTAAAACTATTTTAATATCTTATAGTCAGAATTATTTAAGTTAAAGTTATTTGTGCTTTAAAGTAATGGCTTCCTTAAAAAAATAATAGAACTGTAAATTGAAATTGAAAACTTTGACATTTTGCTATCAAAAAATATTTTATGGTAGGTACTATAATATATATATTTTTTAACTCTGTGGAAACATATTATTATAATTGTATATGAATCCATCATGTTTAATATTGTGCAGGTATAATATAGTTGGTTGATACCTTAAAGTTTTATTATTTCAATCATTCATTTTAAAATATATTTTTGATTGAACAAAAAGGAAAAAAATATAAACATACTATAATATACTTACAATATACATAATATTATTTTGGTTTTATGGTTTTTGCATCATTTTTATCTTATTATCACTGCCATATTTACATCTCGCATTATATTCTGTATTAATTTAAAATTTAAATAGCCAAGAAGTTTATACAACTATACCAAATATTAGCAATAGTATATTTTTTAATTTAAAATATTCTAATTACTGATAATTGATAAATGATAATAACAAAAATAATAATAATAATAATAATAGTAGATAAGCAATTTAATTATATTATTATAATTGATTCAAAAATAAATTTGAATAAACTGCTATTTTATAATTATTGAATTTCAGGAGTAATTACACGGAATTGTATTGTTTTTTTCTCTATCACCGAGACCCTTCTGCTTTCCTTTAATAATACTTAAAATGTGCTTGGTACGCGTTTTGAGTGTATGTACCCCCCGGTGTTACATAGGTTTTTAGCAACAAATCCTTGCCACACGTACACAAAAACGACTTAAGATCAATAAAAAAAAAAAATCTTAAAATGTTTTGATAATTGTATTAAATGTATAAACTGTAAATTGAGAGAAAGATGAACTGTATTATAAAATAAGTAAATAAATAAAACAAGATAAATAACATTAGCTAACCAGAATGTTGCGAAAATTTGTTTTTAAAACTACTAATTCAGCAAGTCTCGTATTTCTTATTAATCGATAACATTATTGCGTATTGGTGACAATGACGAATATGACTGATAAAACGTTCAGTTGGTTATCGATAACAATATTACATCATAACATCATATTATTATAGTGGTTAGACCTAAAATCGCCAAGTCACCACCTTATCCTCAAAACCCGAATAATCTGGATACATTTTATTATGAATTTCAACTTGGAATACTAGAATGTAGATTGTAAGCATGGTTTAAAAATTAACAAATATTTGTATAAATACTCGAAATTATTTTTGAAGCATATTTTTATTTGACTCAGACACTCCCAACAACGGTGGGACATGCCAACGTATATCACTACGAGAGTAAAAGCGAATTCCACTTTTGAGGACAAATAAGTAATAACTGTTTTGGTTTCTTTCGTCAAATACATACATAAATATATTTCAGTGTTCGATGATATGAGTCTAACAAATGATACATTTTCTATATCGTTTAATTTTACATTTATTATTTCATCAAACGTATCTAAAAGTGCAAAAGTTGTTGATAACGTCAGCCCGACTGAATCATGACAGATGTTTAAGAAGGTCTTTGTTCTCTTCTACGGTTATAAGTTAAAATCATAATATTGTTTACAATCTATTGAACATCGCGTATATAGCTAAAAATATTTCAAAATGATCCAGTTCCTAAAAATCAAGTATTAGTCGAGGGCGTATACTGTATGTCTGTATAGTATCTTAATTCCTTTAGTAGATATAGTGATGTGTAATACTATATTTTCAGTAAGACTCGTACGATATAATATCTATGTAGTTAGCACTTATATTGCATAATATCAATAGAGGTTTTTATTTGTTTTGTACTGTTATCTGATGCGTAACAATGAATTATCTCAGAAAACCTGTACTATAATGTAATATATGAAATAGGGAAATAATTTTTACTGGATTTGGAATTGTATAGATTTTACACGCGCGGGCACATATACCAAGTGACTATATATTATATACCTAGCTCTATCGGCAGTATAATATTATAATGGCCATAAGAAATTTTATGTTTTCGACACGTGAAGAATGAAAAACAGCTAACGAGTACATGAGCTAACGTAGTTTATGAAACTGCTAACGATATATTTTATGCCTCCGTATATGTTATATGTAGTTCATTTTTATTGCGATAGGTGACACCTGAATGTCCTAGAACGCTGGAACGCGTACGGCAATTCTGTTGGGTTTTTATCGGACGTGGTCGCGATTTGATTTATATTTTACGCACTTGTTTATCCACGTAATCGTACGCTTTAATATCTATCGATAAATCACAATATAATAAGCGTGTATAGGTATAGAGGTATCTGAGGAAAACGCGCGCATGGTGTTCGGCGCGCGTAACTCTAAAATTTTTTTCTCGACCGTTTCGCCATGTAATGTTTGCGAACGTTTGCGAATTGCAGCGAGCACACCCGCAAAACGTACAGCCTGCAATGCCTACGTTATGTTTTACTTTTAGCAATATAATTTCATATTTTACTGCATAACAGGAACAAACTGTAACGGGCTCTGCTGCAACGGCGGGTCCCACACACTTGACGTGTGCAATAAAAACCGATGTACTATATACATATGCGTCTTTAAATATTTCATGGGTGCTGAGCGGAGCGGGAAACGCGTACCAGACAGCTAGAAATTTTGAGTTTTTTTTTGTTATCATCATGCTTATTGTTATCATCGACCGCGGTCGCGTTAAGAAATAATGCGAGCAGCAATCACAGTTTTGAAGAAATGTTTAAAAGCGTAATTTTTTTAAACACAATGATTTATCATTGCTTCCAAACCATATATATTAATATATATATATACAGCATTACTGCAGTGATAGGGTGAGTGAACTGAGACGAGTGCCTGCCGAAGCCGGGCGGTCCCTTTTACGTTTTTTTTTGTGAAACGACTAGAACATTTGATATCATCTGAACTACAATTTACTGTTTATAGATAGCTACTTTTCATGAAACTTTTGACTCTTCGTAAAAGTGTTAAATTCCGAAGTAACGCGTACAAAAGTTATGAAACCAAACACTATTCCCTTGTTGTGGCCTGTAAACAACTTTTCATTAAAGTCATCACACCATATCAGTATATCACTACCAATTTCTGATGTCGATTCAAGACTCGTGCCGATATTATATGTATACCACATAGTGTGCATTAGGATATCGCTAGGTGTATAATTATTACAACAATACTGTATTATTATTATTATAGTATACTGTAGCAATACCCACGGCTCGAGACAGATATGAATCGCGATTTCGAAGCAACAATCTTTTTTTTCTCAACTGTCCGGAATACCGTGCACGCACGTCAAATGTCAATCTTTACTTTAGGTGGCTGCCAGTTTAATAACCGGCGTGGACGTGTGGAATTGCACATAATATGTCATATTATTATTATTATTATTATTACTACAACTAAACGCTACACCGTAATAATTAATAATATTACATGCAACAGCGTACCCACTCGTACGAAATTCTTATATTTTCGGTGGCTAAACTAAGTGCTTATATTAACCCGCGAACACGCGCTCACCACGACACATTTTTCATCGCTTCGACGGAGAGTGTTTTTCGGGATCTTAAATAATTGTACCTACGCTCGAGGAATCTCGCGAGTGTTAAATAAATTAAAACGTATTCAACGTGATACTCGCGTAGAGGTTTTCGCGCAGTTATTATTGTTGTACGTGTGCAGCAGTACACCCGCCGACGACGAGGAAAAGCGGTAGTGCGAAAACCCTATTACATTGAGCGTATAACGACCGCGGAAAGTCGTACATCATAGCCTCCACTCGGCCTCCTTAGCGGCGGCGAGGAAAAATTTTCCAGCGAGAAATTTACGTCGTTGTGGTCAAGTCGTAATCGCGCGAGAATGAGCTGGAGGCCTGCAATTCTATTAAAATGGGCGTATTGTCGCTACCTGTACACGAGAACGTGTCTTATAAACATTTTAATATACCTATTAGTATATTATGACGTGACATCAATACACAACATAACGAAGAGGTAAGAGCGTATAATAATCACATCATTTCATAATTGAGTATAGGTTATTAAATCGTGGTAAGCCACGCGAGTGTGTTTGAATAGCGTGGTAGTGTGGTACACTTATTATGGATAATAGGTACCTATACTGTACTTTTATGTAACTATATATGTCCGAAGTCGATACGAAACAATATTTTTTTTTACTCTTTCGAATATTACAAGAGTACCTTTACTTTCATATTCTTAGTAGAATATCAGTCGACGTATTGTTATAATAATATCGTTTTATGTATTATGTATATGTATCGAAATACCCCTAAAGACATACTGTTCGGGAATAAGGAATTAATAATGTATGTTGTCATCAAAAAAATAAGTACCTAAGATTAAGAAATATTATATCAATAATAATGTAAGGCTATGGAAACAAATATTTTAAAAGCGAGGAAAAATGATTGTTGTTCGATAAAAGAGTCGCCCAGACCCAGAGCACGTATATATTTCTACGTTTAATGGATCTCGTAACTTGATAGGTGCTCCACTCTCGGGAAATCTCTCGTTGGAGTCTCTATAGCTTATTTTTAGTTTTTAGACATCTCGAATACCTCAATCTCAACGATCGTCACCATCATACACTCGCATGCCTATATCCTGATGCTCAGGTGACTGTATAATATACCAACTACGAGTTCATCGGCATTCGCCATAGCACCTAAAAAAATGATTAAAAAAAAAGAAAACAAACAACGTTCACGTTATACTGACCGTCTGCAGCTTCCTGATGACCAGTATGTAGAAGACGAATATGAGCATAAGCGGTATGGCGAAGCCGAGCACGAACGAGTAGAGCGTGAAAGCTGTCTGCCCGCTGAACAGGTCGTTCTCCGGCCATATGATGTTGCAGCTCTTGACGTTGCCCTTGTCCATTGTGTTGGCGTACATGATGACCGGTATCATGAGTATGATGCTGAACGTCCACGCGGTCACCGACACGATCTTGGACACGTACGCGGTGCGCACCTTGGACGACGAAATCGGATGGCATATGGCTATGTACCGGTCGGCGCTCATGATCATCAGGAATATGCTGCTGGTGAACTGGTTCACGCTGGTGGTGGTCATGTACACCTTGCACATGACGTTGCCGAACGGCCAGAACTCCATGGACATGGTGACGATCAGGAACGGTATGCCGATCAGGAAACACTCGTCGGCGATGGCCAGGTTGACGATGTACATGTTGGTCACCGTCTGCATCTTGGAGAACCGGATCACCACGTATATGACCAGCGTGTTGCCCACCAGCCCGATCACGCACACGATCACGTACAGGATCTTGGATATCAGGTACAGCGACGACTCGTGCCCGGACGTGTCGTCGCAGTACTGCGCGTCCTTGTCGCCGGTGCCGTTGTTGTACGGCCACCCGTCGGTGCCGTTGTACCCGCCAACGGCGCTCGACGGCGGTTCTATCGACGGCCAGCCGGCCGCCAGCTGCTGCAGGACGCTGGGATATTCCATTCGGTCGGTTAGTTAACCGCGGATGGCGTCCAGCGGGTTAGTGTACCGCGTCGCGTCGTTATCCACAGCCGCCGCCGCCACCTTCGTTGTCACGTTAGTCGTATCCGGTCACCTTCACATTGTCGTTGCCATTGACGTTTCCCTGCGTAAAACAAAGAAAAAGAAAACCGTTATGCATACGAATGAGTCAAGTCGTCAAAACTTTGGCCTCGAAATGGGTTGGGGTTGGGGTGGGGTCGGGGAACTGCCACGATTGCGATGACACGCATGTCGTTTAAATTATGGGCAATGTCGTATGCGAAGATAAAAAAATTTACAAAACCGCAGTAAAAAACAGATGTTAAATTTCCGAGTCCACTCGCAATCCGAGATAATTTCGGCGAGGGCGGGGAACCTCCCCCATATACGGACAAGGGTACCTAGTTCATTTCTGCTATATACTTGTGATACATCATTGTACGGTTGACACCACTATATTTTTACATATAGTTAAAATTATTTTAACCTTATTTTTATAGCCGCTGTCACTATATATTCAATATTTGTGAGTCAACCATTTTGTACGGCTAAATTTGAGGTATTATTGTACGTGGTTGAAATTATTGTATGATAGGTCGGCGCAACTACAATAATGATCGATGATCGACGTAATGATCTAATGTAATATTATTATTCACAAGACTCATTTTAGTATACTCGTATTTTACAAAAACTGTGGGAGCACCTGGGTTTCGGTGTACAGTAACCTATGATATTATTTCATTTGATCCTATTGAGTGGCCGACTCATGTTTGGAGTCGAATGGTCAGTGGTGAACGATTTGAACAACACTCCACTAGCGAAACGGAGGCAAAAGTGCACAAATCGGTTTGCGGTGTGTGTGTGTGTGTGTCGAGCTATATAGTGCTAACGGGCGTAAGTTGGATTTAGTGGTCACAGCAGTTCTAGGAAATCAGGATCAAACTCAGATGGTTATAAAAGGCCCTTTTGTAGTCATTAAAAGTAATCCTCAAAAATCAATTGTAAAAAAAAACAAAACGCAAGCATATATTTTTTATTCTATACACAATAATATGAGCATATATTTTTTATTCTATTATATAGCTATAGTAAGCACTTATTTTAATATATTATTATTGTGTAATTACGAATGCCTGTATGGTTTATCATTAATCTTATTATTTTTTTTCCACCTAAAGCATAGATCACTGAATCTATTTTGTTCTACATCATACAATACGTACTCACATTTTAATTTTTCGCATACGCAAAAAAGAACCAACCATATTTTGAATTTTCGTGCGTCGTTTCGATGGTTCTAGCGAAAACTGTATTCATTACCGCAATAACCATATTTACATCCAAAATATTATCTATATTATTATATTATGCATCATAATTTACATAATGTACATCATTATTAATTATTATAATTATTGTTATATGCATTGAACGCACGACAATTATTTTTTTTCCAAGAGGACTTGGTTTGAATGCCAATTGGGGGGGGGGGGGCTAAAACGCTTATTGGGTGAGCTCAGCCTCTCCCCTCTCTAGCCATCTTCCTTGTTCTGCCGATGATGATGCCCGGAAATGTTTATTTGTTTATGCAAACACTGGTCTTGAACGGCACGCCGTCGGTGTCGCCACTACAGAAAATTTTTTTAAACGTTCCAGTAAGTCACTGACGCCTATTCAAGACGCCTCGACGTTGAGATTTAACGATTGAAACGTTTTGAAAACAATAATTCGTAATAATTATTATGCACACTGTTGATATCTCGGAAAATAGACCCGATGAGGTTCATCTGATACAAAAAAAAAAAAGAATATTCGTGTAGAAAGCGTGCGTTTTATCGGAAAAAAATTGGACTATTTTTTGACTCGAAGGCAGTTGATTGCATTTTTCCTTTGATTACTTGCGGTGTACGTTATGTTGTACCTCTCATTCGCTAATGACCTAAGCACTCGTGCATGTATCGATTGTCACGAGCACAACTCACAGCAGATATGATCAAACTATAAATTTCGTTCGACATCAAAGCGATTGATTAATGATTATACTATTGTAATTTCGTAGCTCATAACGACTAGTGTTATTATTGTTAATACCTATAATAGTGACCTAGCAGCAGTAGACTGCTGTCATTATTTGCTGCAGTGGTGCTAAACATTACGGTTTAAAGGCATTTTAATGCAAGTTCGGTAATAATTAATAGTTAATGAATGAGCGTGTATATGCAATAATTATTACCAGATAAACCGAGTTACCATTAATTTACCATTTTGATACCTATACTTTTATGTTAAATGGCGTATCGGCATTTGATGTCTTGCAGACGAAACCAATTTGTGTACACTGATAATCTATACGTGTATCCATGCGTCGAAATAATTATTATGATATGATTTACATGTGTGTATCATTTTCTCAAACATTTTGAAAACGCATTTTGAAAATGTCTGAGAGACCAATAATAAACCACCATGAATGTTTAAACATATGATTATCATATACGATAATATAAATACCTTAAATAGCACAATAGAAAAAAGGACGTTATTGTACCGGTATTTTCCGTAAATTATGAAAATACCGGAAGCCAACTGACGTACATCGTGAACAACGGATGTCCTTCATTTTTCGTCTCCTAAGCCATCATTCGAAGAGGTTACTATTTCAAATGCGCGCCACACAATTATTATGCACGAGTTTTATAGGACTCGTAAACATTGGTCAAAGGTATGCCATAGTTTTAGACAAAAATCTTTTTTTTTACTGTAGAGAAATATAAAAAAATATATATAACTTAGAAGAATACATCTTCTTTACAGGTCTGAGGTTTTTACTTTTAAACATTCGAAACCATATTCGTACCAAATCACCTTGTGATCACCGCTCGTCATCAGCAGTGGCTGTTCGATGAATCCGTTCGCTATATAGACATTTTGTATGTTTTCTCTTTACAACGACCAAAAAACAATACAATCTTTTTTTTTTTTTAATTTAAAATTATTACTTGTATACCTACCGTTTAAAAGTGTTCACCTTTACCGATAATTTAGGACTGTTTAAGACCACCCGCCGCGGTTATGCTTATGGAACAGAAACTTTTTTCTAAAAGTTTTGTTCACAGTTAAAACTGACGATTATTGCGCTTGGTGCCGTTATACAGTCAAAACTATCCACAGGATTTAAAAGTTAACACACGTTTATTTAGTGACGACGTTCTATAATATATTTCTTTTTTTCTCTGAAGTCGTCAACTTACTTTTTTCCCTGCAGTACATCGCCAATCGTCATATTGAAATGTTTGATTATAATATTAAATACGATTACGCGATTAAAAAAAATTAAATATGCAAATGATATACTAATAACAATATCAGGAATTAATCTCATTATTCATTACTTTTATCATTATATCGTTTAATACTATAATGAAAATAAAAAATAAATTATGGGGACAATTGATGCTCCCTTCGAAATTATACAAGCTAAATTGCTAACCCTCCTTTGATGTTTAGGTCGACTGTGCAGTATAAGTATTCTATACGTCCAATGTGGATAGAAATTACAAAACTAATATTTTTACGTGTATTTTGCAACTGCGGTCTTAATCCCGTGCCCATCATACACACATTTATAATATCTCTGTTTAAATTCTCTCTCGGGTTGTATTAATTTTAAGACCGTTTTCACTACAAAAGTAATTACAAGTTGATTTATTTAGTATAAATCATAAATTACATTTCGATTACTCATATGCGTCTGTTGCGGTGTGCGTGCCAAATAAATATAGTTGCGATATTATTTTATGTCGGAAATATTCTACCCACATATATTACAATAAGTAATAACATTTTAATTACAACTCAGTATGTGGTATGGTTTTTTTTATAATATTAAACATAGAAATGCACAAGGGTAATTAATTTTATGCCATGCTATTGAAATATTAAATAAAAAATACTGCACTGAGAACAAGTAGGTACACGTCGGTCGCGTGGATAATATTATTATAATATGTACCTACCTGCATCGTATAAAGTGTGTACTGACTATTGGGAGATAAAATGACACCCTTAAATCGTGATGTGTTTAACCACGAGAAGTTTTATGTTCAAATAATTCGATTGTACTTATAATACATTTTCGAGAACATGACGTGAGTTTTTGTATGGGTAATTAATTGATTAAATGACTATACATCACACCCCCTCCTTAAAACCACGATGTCTCGTTGCGTAACTGAGGTGTTGGCTAATAGCAACGATAATATACAACACATTGTTCCTGTAATGGAAAAAATGTGTTGCTTTCCAAATTTTAAGTAGATATCATATTATACTAATATCATGTACCTACCATATTATATTATATGGCGAAAAATTGGTTGGCTTTTATTATCTGGAATATGGTGATTTGTATTTTGTAGACAACAATAGTATCCAAATCAAATTTTATAAATAGTCTAAGATAAAACCATACACATTTACAATAATTTAAAATAAAAGCGCGAAAATGTGATGGAAGTGCGTATACGGAGTACAATACGACGTTAAGACAAATCTTTGTTGTAATGTTTTGGACCCAATATATATAGAAGAAAACACGAATTTAAAATGAATGCTAACATCAATTATAGACACTGAAAGATGATACATAAAAACGTTTCTACGGAAAAGTCTTTTGATTATAGCAGAAGAATAATACTAAATAAGTAACATTTTGCATAAACAACTTTTTAGACTTTTGACAACGTTATGAATATTCTATTTTGCCTTAAGATATCTGTCAAACAAGACGTGTACTCACACAAAAGTTTTGTTTTATTAAAGCTCTTTTAAATTTTAATACGAGATGTGGTGCTCACTATTATTGATGGAAAAGAATTCCCTTCGTATAATGTAATTAAAGGCATTGTTTTGATATTTTATTTCAAGGCTAAAAAAATCACGTCAAAAACAGAACATCGGAATATCTGATTTCATGTCGTAAATTGTTAGTCTATCCTATACATGGTATACGACGTAGATAAAAACATCTGGATTTATGGAATTAAAATGTTGACTATAAAATCGAATTTAAGGGTAAAATACAATTTGTCGGAGTTTATATCATTATATAAGTTTAAATTC